TAGTGACTAAAATCATTTTCTTTGCTTTGGAATCTCAACACATGTTAGGAGAAGGAGAAAGTTTTCAGAGAATTATCTGAATGCTTGCTAGAAGGCTGCATTCTCTGCCCAGTCCATTTTAGGCTGTTTTAGAAATGGTAATAAATAATGAATCATGATTGAAATCCATGTCTCCTGATTCCCAGTCAAGTTCTTTCAAATTAAAAACTCTATCGAATCCTTTCAAGAATCCCTTCAAAATCATTTGATATATTTCAATATTTATCTTGTGAAAAGCCTATGACCTTTAATTTTTATTCATATCTGTCAAATTATAAACACATATTATTTCCTGATTGTGTTAAACTGGAATTTTCCAACCAAACTGGAGTCACAGCCTAAACGGTTTACAAACCCATTGCCATCGAGTCGATTCTGACTCATAGTGACCCTATAGTACAGAGCAGAACTGCCCCATAGGGTTTCCAAGGCTGTAATCTTTACAGAAGCAGACTGCCACGTCTTTCTCTGTGAAGCAGTTTCGAACCACTGACCTTTTGGTTTGCAGCTGAGCTTTTAACCACTGCAACACCAGAGCTCCCTAAGTGTGGCCAAAATAATGATTTCCTCTGCCCTTGTTGTGGCTAAGCACCCATGCTGACCACCTCTAAGTGGGAAGTTTCATCCATTTACCTCTATGCCTTACAAATATTATCATTTATTACATGTACCATGACATGGAAAAGGTTGGGAGGCACTGGTTTAAACTGATTCTTATCACAGCTCTTTTAGTCTGACTTCAGCCTCTATATCTGTGAGCCAATAAATTAAACTTCATATGTTTTGCTTTCTCACTGGTCTAAGACCTGTAAGAATACCTGGTAATTGTTAATGCTGCTTGGGCACAGATATACTCTAAGGTTTATTTAGAAAGTATCTTTTTAGTAAATTAAAAGTCAAATGGAGGAGGGGAGTTCCCTCTGAGGTAACTTCCAAGAGCAAAAATATAGATGGAAAATCAGTGTAGTTATTTTCACCACATACTCTAGCACTGAGGCTTCTCTCTTCAATATTAAAACCACATTATACATAGATAGACATAAATCACTGCAGTAGGCAAAGTTCTAAAATGTAATAGTAATCAGTGTAGTAGGCAAAATTCTAAGATGGCCCCCATTATTCCTACCCCAATATCCACACCTTTGTGTAATCTCCCCCTTCTAAGAGCGTATGGGTGGGACCTTTAACTTACTTCTAACCAAGAAAATATGGCATATGTGATAGACTATCACAGTGTAGATACGTGATGTTGTATGACAAAGGTGAAGGAGTTTTGCAGATGTAATTAAGGTCCCAATCGCTGACTTTGTTAACAAAAAGGCAGATTATCCTGGTAGGCTCGACCTAATCAGGTGAGCCTTTAAAAGAGAACAATCTACAAGTGAGATACTTGATGCAACAGTCTCTCTCTTTCTCTCTCTCTCCCCTCACTGCTAGCTTCAAAGAAGCAAGCTGTTGAGAATTCTACTGCTACATGGAAATAAATTCTGCCAACAACCTGCGGGAGCCGGAAAGCAGATCCTTCCCTAGGCAGGCCTCCAGATGAGAATGCAGCCCAGTCAATACTTTGATTTCAGACTGGTGAGACCCTGAGCAGAGAATTCAGTTGTGCCATGACTGGACCTCTGACCCAAGGAAACTGTGAGATAATAAATGTATGTTGTTTTAAGTTGCCAAGTTTGTGGTAATGTGTTACACAGCAATGGATAACTAACACCCTTAAAAAATCCGCTGCCATCAAGTCGATTCTGACTCATAGCAACCCTCAGATTAAAAAAAATAAAAAAATAAATAGAACCCATAAAAGCATGAGGCAAGTCCCTCCAGGAGTACAGCCCAAACCTTACCTTAACTTCCATGCTAGCTGGCTCCTCCACCAGATGTAGCAGTTGTTGTTTCTCTCTAGATAGCTGTTGTACCAGCCTCTCCTGAGCAGCCAGGCTCTGACCCAGTTCTTCAATTTTTCTGCAGCAAAGAAATAGCTTTGCTCATTACCTTTATTTTTTAGCCCACTCTGAAGACAGCATGGTCCAGTACAGTAGCCTTTTGCCTTTTTGGGTCAGGGTTCCATGGAACCCTTTGAGACTTCTCCCTAGAAGGCTATGTATTCTCTGTCCCAGTCTTCAAATATATACACAAACAACTTTTTACTTACATTTTCATGGGGTTCATGAATCTCTGAAGCCTAGCCATGGATCTATAGACCCTAGGTAAGTAATTCTTAGAAGAGGGGTTCAGAATTTTTAATTTTTGTTAATTGTTATATTCAATAAATAAACAATTCTTGAATAACCATTGCATGTACTCAGTGTACTTTACTAAGTCCTGGGAATATAAAGTTGGAAAATACACAATCTATGCTCTGTAGAAACTAACATTCTTTTGGTATGTGTGATAGGTGCCTCAGGAGGGAGGAGGCACAGCTATGTAAACAAATAACAGTAATGGAATGTAATACGTGCTATCATAATAGAGGTATATACCATATAGTACATCAAGTCTGTCGTGGAGCTATGGAAAGAAAGATAAAGGAGTGATTCCTTTGACTTGGAGGTGTCTGGGGAGGCTCAGGAGAAGAAATTTTGAAGATTGGGTTATTCTCCAGGCTCATGGGGAAGAGCTTGAGCAAAGGAATGAAGACCTGAAAATATAAGGCATGTTTGGGGAAGATCCTGGAACAAAGCCTGGGGAGAGGGAGCAATGGCTAGAGAAGAGACTGGAAATGCAGACTAGGACTAAGTGGTAAAAGACTGTGCCTCTTGTGCTGAAGTAGGCAAACCATGGATTTGAATCAAGAATTACTGATCATCTACTATGTGCAAGGCATATCTTACTGTTTCTCTGTTTGTATGTCTCAAAGTCCTAGAGACACCTTTTAGGTCTTTGAAAATGTGCTGAGTACTAGATGAAATGTTTCTAATTGTAGTTATTATTTCTGTGTAAGTATGTAAGATAGTGATAGCAACTCAGGATAAAAATAGTTTGGCAGAAAGGTGAGGGGTACCTGTTTTCAAGTAGGAAGCTCATAGACAAATTATAAACTCATTTAGGGTGTGAGGCTCAGTTAAGATTTCAGGGTGAGAAAGAACTTCAAAAACTTAAAAACATTATACAAATGCAAGCTGTAATGATAATGATCATGAATTCATGTGGACACCATATCAGCTTCTGCATAATATCTGCACTAGAATGTCAACCCTTCTCAAGCCTCAAACCTCACTCATCTCTTTGACCCTCAGTCTCTAGAGATGATCTATTCTCCTACTCTCCCAAGTTGGCCAAGGCCATCTGAACTCCCTCAATTTTTTTGTCAGGTGTGCATGTCTTTTTTTTTCTTTTTGTTTTCAGTTTAACAAGTGTTTATTAAGGAGCCCTAGTGGCACAATGGTTACACGCCTGTCTGCTAACTGAAAGGTCAGAGATTCAAACCCACCAGCTGCTCTGAGGGACAAAAGACCTGGCAATCTGCTCCCATAAAGATTACAGCCTAAGAAACCCTATAGGGCAGTTCTGCTCTGTCCTATAGAGTCAGAATCAACTTGACGGCACACAACAACACCAACAAGTGTTTATTAAGATACAGAGATGAGACAAAGTCTCAGGGAATCTATCAGAAAAGATTTGAAAGCAAATACAATACCACACTGAGAACTGTGCAATTATGGGCATGTATATAAAAAAAGCAACAGTATAGAGACTTAATTCTGCTGTCACAAAAGCCTTCACAGAGGTGACGATCGATGCCTTAGTGAGTTTTGAAGGATATATAGGAGTTCACTAGGAGGGAAAAAGATGGCAGATGTTTATCATAGAAGGAAGAACATGAGCAAAATTCTGGAGATCTGACATAGCATCATATGCTTCTCGAGGCAGTGTGGATTCAGGGTTTGGCTTCCAGCGGTGCCTGTAACCATTTTACACAGCTCTCTAAACTTCAGTTTCTTCATTTAATACATAAAATAATTCCTGTCTCACAGGATTGTTAGGAGAATTAAACAAGAATGTTGCAGATATATTTCCCCCACTACACTAGGATCTCCATTAAGTCTCCTAGTGCTTAACAGAATTCCTGATATTTAATAAATCCTTAGTATGTATTGATTGAATAAACTAGCCTTTCTGCCTTTGGCTTACCTCATTTCGCTTTATTTTATTTAATGCTTTCTTCCAGAGTGGTCATTTGCAAACACAAATCTGATCATATTGTTCTCTAGCTTAAAATCCTTCAACTGCTCTCAACCTTCAGGATAAAATTTAAGCTCCTTATTATGGTAGACAAAGCTGGCATAATCAGACCCCTATCCCCCAGTTCAACTTACCTCTCACTAGTCTTCCCCAGACGCTCTGTTCTAGTTATATAGAACTACTTGTAGTTCTTGAAATATGCCCTTCCCTGTGCCTCACCTTCAAGGTTTCTCCTTTTGCATAGAACATTTCCCTTCCCCACTCACTTCCTACTCCATTTCATCTAACTTCTATTCATTCTTCAAGACTCAGCTCAGATTTCACCTCCTCCAGGAAACCTTCAATGACACCTTGCTCTTTTAGTCCTTAATAGATGACCATCCTATATGTCCCCAGAGCACCCCATGCTAACTTGTATCAGATAACTTATTATAATTGTGTGGTGTGTTCCTTGATGAGAGGAACTGGGTCTTTAATCTCTGTAACCTTAGTGCTTAACACGGTGTCTGGCATGTAACAGGTGTTCAATAAATATTTGCTGAATAAGTGAATCCATGTCTTTTGCTTGTCACTATTTTTCCACTTCATTGTTCTGTTTATACCTTGTTAGGTCCCTGACTGCCACGAAGTAAGTTCTGTTCATGGATACCACCAAAGAATGAAGCCTGAAAAGAAAGTCTTTGGTTGTAGGGGCCATAAAGTCTTGGAAATGGTGAAGACTCTATGTTAAGCCCTTAAAAAGAACAGTGTGGCTGTTGTACGATCTCGTAGGCTCAAGAACAGACAAAAGACAAGTAACAGATGGAGCACCAAAGGCACTTACTTGTCCCTCTCGGCCAGGGCCTCAGTGTATTGGTTGTGCTTGACCTGGTCTCCAGGTGCATCTTCCCTGTCCTTAGTGACGCCCTTCAGTTTCTCTGAGAGCTCCAGGTTACACTCTTTCTCTGCTTCCACCAGAGCTGCCATCCGTGCAGCTTCGTTCTTTGCTAGCCTGGATTCCTGCAAAGCAAATGAACACTGAGAGGCTGCTAAGTCCCCATCTAGATTAGGAGCCCTAAGGTCCAGGGACAACTGATGAGTTTGGGAAGGAAAATAGGGAGAGAAAAGGTGGATGGCAGCAGGCAGGGAGGTAGGGAAAGAGGTAAAAGAGGGCCCCTAGCCCTGGTCCTTTGAACTCCTACTCACCTCTTGCAGAATCTGGATCTTATTCTCTAAGAGCTCGTAAACATGCTCTGTCTCCTGCTGTCTCTCCTCAAACTGGCGCCGGAGCTCAGCTTCATTACGGCTGTTTAGATTTTCCACATCAGCCCTAAAACCGTAGAGTGTTAGCCAGTCAGAGCCAGACATAGTATGGTATAAAGTAGCAAGTGGACCCAATAAGGTTGTTTTAGTAACTCAGGGTCACATTGATGAGAAGAAAAAGGAAGCCTTTTATCATCTGTAATTACTGGCTGCTAACCAGAAGATAGGCAGTTTGAATCCACTAGCCACTCCTTGGAAACCCTATGAGGCAGTTCTACTTTGTCCTATAGAGTTGCTATGAGTTGGAATCGACTGGATAGCAATGGGTTTGGCTTTTTGGTTTGAATTATCTGTGGAATCCCTCTTTCCAACCTCTTCAGGTAATCTTTTAGTAACTCCAATTTTTTGTTGTTTGCCAATCAGAATATATTGGACTCCCTAAAAAAAGACCACATTTACTGGTCTTACAGAGACTGGAGAAACCCCAAGAGTATGGCCCTGGACACCCTTTTAACTTAGTACTGAAGTTACACTTGTGGTTCACCCTTCAGCTAAAGATTAGACAGACCATAAAACAAACGAGACTAAATGGGCATACCAGCCCAGGAGCAAGGGCAGGAAGTCAGGAGGAGACAGGAAAGCTGGTAATGGGGAACCCAAGCTCGAGAAGGAGAGTGTTGACATGATGTGGGGTTGGCAACCAATGTTACAAAAGAATATGTGTATTAATTGTTTAATGAGAAAGTAGTTTGCTCTGTAAACCTTCGTCTAATGTGCAATTAAAAAAAAAAGAATATATCGGACACCCTAGGGGCTTCATTATTGCTACAGCTTGAAGAGGAAGAGTTTTCATTTGTAAGGCAGGTAATTCATCAAGTGGTTGAGAACTCAGCATCTTCAATGGACTCTTCAATTTAGACTGCTTTTCCAAAGTGCTTTGCTAGTCCCTTGCCTTTTTTACTATTTGACTTTAAAGTGTCCCTTCCATTTATGTTGCTGGGACAGGATATCCATTTGGATACTCACAGAAATACTCACCTCCTTTACAGTAAGTAATAATAGCATATAGTCCTGCATCTGGGTTATCTACCCAGAGTTCTACAGCTTTCCCCTGGTCCTATGTAGAGAACAGACATTTCATCTCTGGAAGCTCATGGTTCTGGCTGCACCTTGCTTCTCTGGTGTCCCTAGGAATGAATGTCCAAGCACTAGCATGGAGGGGGTCAGGTGTCACCAACTTATTTATAGCTAAGAACAGCTGCCCTTGGATGTCTGAGGATTAGAAAATTTTGGGCAGTATCAGGAGCTGAATGATCTTAATTCTGGTTTGATTGTATTGCTGTTTCAAGCTGTTTGTTGGAAACCACAGACCATCTTCTTATTGTCAGGACAGAGAACAATACTGAACATCTGTAGGCTCGGGATAAATCAAAGCTGCTCTATCTAAGCCCAGTGGGACTTTAAAATTTGGCTCAGGAGGTTGTGTCCATGGAGACCAAATGGGGCTTCCCTAAAGATTATAGGATTTTTTGGTTGACAGCGGACACTATTCAGTCCCATCCCAGAGGCTCCTATATTTATCTTGAGCTCCCTTGTTATTATACAGCCTTTTGGGAGTAGGAGGGTCTTGCTTAAGGGAATAACCCAAGAATGCTAAATCGGCAGACCTTAGGAATAGACTTTGACTCCATAGTCAACTCCATATTCCCTGATAAGTGCAATAAATAACAGCTAGCTAGAATCTCTAGAGAATGAGGATTACTGATTTTTAGGATAACTCAGTTAACTAGGAACCCATGATTTAAGAGGCTACAGCTGTTGTGACGTCAAAAGAGCCTTGAACTTGATATCAGAAGGTGTGGGCTCTGCCACTTACTTGAGAAGATTTTAACTCTCTGTATCTTAGTTTTCTCATTTGTAACATTTTAACAACACAAAAATATATAAAGAAAAAAATGAGTCTCCACTCCCCTCACACAAACTCCAATCTCACTCCCTTAATGTAAACAAGATTAAAGAGTTTGGTGTATAACCTGTAATTTTCTTTCTATGCATAATCAAGCAAACCCCTACACACATAGAAATGATTGTCTTGACCATAAGGGACTTATACTATAAACATCACCCAGCACTTCTCCCCCTTATGTATTCTATCAAGGACTTCCTGCCAGGACATGAATATAGAGCTTTCTTTTTAATAACTGCATAGTATTCCACAGTATAGGCATACCAAAATTTATTCAATCAGTGCCCTATTGATAAGTTGTTTCTAGCTTTTTGCCATTACAAATAATGATGCAGTAAATATCCTTATACATGTATCCTTTTACGCTAGTGCTTTTCTTTACAAGGGATAGATTCCTCCTAGGGATTATCTGATCAAAGACCGTGTTTATTTTTAACTTTAATAGGCAGCTCCACATACCAAAAAGGGGTCACTATTCGCTCTCTCACTAGCAGTGTATAAGTACCATTATCCCCAAATTCTATGTCAGTCTTTGATGTTATTAGCTGATTGATTGATAATCCCTGATAAAGCTTATTTGCATTTGTCACTTTCTACTAAAAGTATTACAGTTAATTGTGTTTCCTGGTTAGTTGAATGCTGTTTAATAGGAAGTTTACAGTCTTAGGTGTGGTGCATATAACAATCGTTGGCAAGATCTATCTGATTTAGTAACAGAGAACCCAAGGGAAAGAAAACCAAAACCCATTGTTGTAGAGTCTATTCTGACTCATACCAACCCTATAGGACAGAGTAGAACTGCCCTATAGAGTTTCCGAGGCTGAAATCTTTACGGAAGCAGACAGCCCCATCTTTCTCCTGTGGAGTGGCTTTTGGTTAGCAGCTGAGTGCTTAACCATTGCAGCACCAGGGCTCCTTAAAGGAAAGAAGGTACGTGAAAATCTATTGTTTCAGTTCCTGGTTGACATAACATTCAAATGCCATAAGAGTGGTTAAGAAAGACACTCAGCTAAATTCTTCTTGGAATTTGGTTCCAAATCTATTGCTCTCAGATTAGTGAGCCACTCTTTGAAAAAGGGTCAGAGCTCATCTAGCTCAAATTCAACTCACCATGTTTTATCCAGATCTTGTTTCTTGTCCTGGAGTTCTCGTTTCAGGCTCTCTACTTCAACCTTCAGCTCAATATTCTGAAAAGCACATAGGTATTAATCATTATTAACTGCACAGGCCCTGAATCCTGGAACCAGGTTCCTATCTGAGTTTTGCCTTGGTCGACAGCCTCTCATCTCATCCCAGCCCTCTTCATGGCCCTTGACAGATATGGGCACTCAGCCAAATCAGCAACCAGTCAAGCACAAATGAACTGTACAGCTTCAGGATTTCTCCTGAACTACTTATCCAGTCTCCCAACCTGTTCTTGGCTGTCCCTAGATCATGAACTCACTAATTCCAGCATATCATGAATCACTGCATCTAGTTTTGAGCATTCTGATCTGACTGGGTTGTCATGCTAAATATCAAGAAATACTATTTACATGGAAGAAACGACAAATTGAACTGAATGTATACCGATCCCAGGGTACAATCTAAAAAGTACTTGCTAACTCTCAAAAGCATTTAGGGACACAGTTTATGTTAAAACAATATTTCTTACTAATAACAATATTTCTTACTAATACTGAAGACCAAATTGCTATATAAGTATATTTTAAACATACTTTTTTATATAAAGAAATACATCGTGAATATTTTCAAAAACAATACTTTGCCTTTATCATAAAGTTGGATTTTCAGAAACTGGATTTGCTTAAGGTGAAAGGTCTCTAATGGTAAATCTATGCAGGGACCAATTAATTTTTATTGAGGTGAGGCAGCAACAGATAAGATTTGACGAATAGAAGAAGGAAATAAATATGTTCCAAATGAAGCAAAGTATGAACAAAGATGTGGTGAGATGACTGGGCATTAAGTGTTCAGTGCTTGGTGTGTGGTAAGGAATGGTGGGAAATCAATACAGAAAATAGTTTTCAAGTAGCTTGTGGTCATGCTAAGAAGACTGGATAGTAATCAGTGGAGAACAAGGAATCATCTGAGAGTGTTAGCTAAAACATCACCATGACCAGACCTGGGTTGAGAAAAGAATGGATTAGTTAGGAGGCAACTGACCAGAATAGGGATGAGACTGTGTGAGGGCAAAGAAGTACAGAGAGAAAGACTAAAAATACATTTCAGAGGCAAAATCCATACAGCTTGCTAACTTTTGAGAGATGCAGTTCAAACTAGAGGGAGGAGCAAAAATGATGCTAAGATTCATAGCATGTTGGTGGTGATACATACTATTAATGAAATTAGGGAACAGAAAAGGATGAGTGGGTTTGTAAGGAAATCTCAAGAGGAGTCTATAAATATTAATTGAAGGATTACTATATTTCAGACTCAGAGCTGAGTGTACAAAGATGAATGAGTCCTTTTGCTGATGAAGTCCATGTCATAGTATTAAGCAGGTTGAATTCTATTAATCAAAAAGAGAAGAAGACTTGGAGAATTCCGGAAAAATGGCACTCTAGGCAGAAGCACCATGCCGTCCCTCAACAGCAAAGATCCGAAAAACTAAGCCGAACAGAGAAAACAACAATCCTGAAACCCTAAAACATCAAATGAAGAGATAAAGGACTCATCCAAGCACCAAATGGAGTGAGAAAACTGACGGAGAATGGAGAGCAAGGAGAGATTCATGCAGAGGTCCCCTACCAGCTAACACAGCGCGGATCCGCCATCTTGGACTCATATCGGAGACCAGCAAACAGGGGGTATGAGAAAGCAGCTTCACAGAGCTTCAAGTGGGAGACAAAACAACCGGTAATTTGCAATATACGCTTTCCCACCCCCCACCCTTCTTC